TTGGGGAAGCTCGTTCAGAGGACTGATCGATGCTGCCATTGTTCAGATCCACTGCTACAGCCTGGGTAAAACCCCTACCGTTTCTGCCTGCCTTTCTGAGTGTTTGGTGAGCTGCAGAGCTGGGTCTCAAACATCTGGGCTTCTTCTTGGTATTCTCACCTCATAGGCTGAAAGACGTGAGGGAGCTGCTATAGAAATCTCAGGAAATACGCTCCTTTCTTTCTTAGCCAGGAGTAAAGTGCTTTGGAAAAAGCAAGACGATGAGTAAGAACTGCGCCTTCCAATTCCGAGCTGTCGTATCCACCCTATCCTACTCAGAGGCTAGCATTTTAGAGGAAGCCAATGCAACCCCTTTCTTGATCCTCCGTACCCATGTGATACACACGAGAATGGAATGCTCCTCTATGAGTGTCTTCACAAAGGAATTCCTTCACGACTTCCCAGATGATCACAAATCGGGTGGCTTGAAACAACAAAACTGAATTCTCTTCTACAGTCCTTCTGGAAGCCATAGATCAGCATCACTAGACCCAATCAACAATTGGCAAGGTCACCTTCCTTCCCGAGGGCTTCAGGGCAGAATCTGGTCTTTGCCTCTTGCAGAGGCAGGCGGCTGCCATTACTCCCGGCTCGTGGCCACATCACTGACTGTCACATCTCTGCCAAGTCTTCACATTGCCTTCTCCTGTGTGCGTGAGCTTAGAGCTCCAGCGGCACGATCGGTACTTATATGTGTGCACAAAAATATGTGTGATGAAACGCAGGGCTCATCCTAGTAGTTGAGGATCATGTTCCCATCTCAAGATTCTTCACTTCATTGCATCTGCAAAGACTTGTTTTTTCTCGGAGAACGTTCCTTTCACAGGTTCTAGGACCAGGACCTGCTGCCTGTGGGGACCACTATCAGCCTGTAATACTTGATAAAGGAGATGATCATCCTCAGTTAGCGGAGGCAGAACCTGTGAAATGAGGTGATGCCGATCTGAAACACAGGGTGTTATTCTGCCACCTGAACAGTACCAGAAGCCTTCCAGACTGGTACGCATGAAACGTCATGGAGCCCGAGAGAGGTACCGAGCAGACACGGGGAGGACGGGTGGCCATGAAGTGGCTCGTGCCACGGGTAGTGCTGTCAATGGGGCGGGGGAGAGCCTCCCGTCAGCCCAGGTGGGCACTCTGCTGAGAGCTCCTTGGCTCGCTGCAACAAAGCCCTAGTCCCAGGGGGCTAAGGACTATGACTTACTGGGGTTGGAGCTAAGAGGAGCATGAGCCTCCTTGAGGTGAAGGTGTGGCTATGACACGGGTGTCATTTAGCTGACCATGCTGATGACCTTGTCACGTCCATGTGATGGGCACGACCATGCTGAACAAAAAAATCACAGCAACAGTTTCTAAAAGCCAAAAACTACTGAAAATGAAGAAAATAACTGAATTGTGCCACACCTGTGTCTGTTGGAAGGCAGTTTTATGATACTCCATGCCACTTATTTAAATAATACATTTTTAAAGTTTCAGCTCATATGTTTTTATTATAGGACTAGGTGCTAAAAGTCCCCCCCCAACTTTTTTTTTTTAACATCAACCCTAAGCGACAGCACTCTTGGGCTGGTGCACTTGAACTCCAGAGCTCAGAGTGTTCTGCAGAGGAAGTACCTGCTGCCCGTGTTCTCCCAATGAGCAGGTGCTCTCTTTGGCGCTACCCGCTGCACCTGCATGTTGTCTGCAGGGTCTCTAAGTTCTGTCTGTTCCATCGTTCTGGAGTTCACTATGCTCCAAAGCTGTGTCTACCTCCCAATAAACAATTACGGCAAGGTGAGGGCTACAGCAGGCACAGATAGATCACAGAGGGACGCAAGCTTCCCGGAAGGCAGCCAAGGGGTCACCCGGAGCTCTGACTCTGTGGGCACCTGGGCTGGGTGTAAAGCAGTGCTTTGCCGCCTCCCGGGCTTGCGAGAGCGCTTGAGGGAGTCCCTCTGAGTTTCCCCTTCTCCTGCGCAGAGGGCACACGGCACATCCCAAACGCCTCATGTGAATAAAATGAGCACCAAAATGTTCACAGTGGTTATTTCTGAGTTGTACGGTAGAAGGTTGAGTGCCATTTTTCACTTTTCTATATCCTTCAATATGTGTGATGAGAAAAGTTTAACCAATGAGGCTGATTTTAGGGGGACAAAGCAGGGAAATACAATTTAGGGTGAAGTTATGACCACCTCAGGTCGTAGCTCTGATCCACCGACCTTTCCTAATAACACAGCTACTGTTCCTAAGCCTGGCACTGCAGACATGGTTCTTCTCACCGTCACAATAACACTATTCAGTGGGTCTTACTACTTCTATCTCACAGATAAGTAAACCAAGGCACAGCAAAGTGAGGGAATGTGTCCAAGGCCACATATCCAGGATCGGCATCTGGCTTGGTGATGCCAGCACCTCGCTTTCCCTCTGGGCAATCTGCTGTGGGACTGAGTCAGGCCCTCATACCACCCGACTGTTACCTTCAGGAAGGGTGCAGGGACCGCGCCCCACGCTGACTTCCTCTGGCAGTAACTAAATACAAGCCCAACAGGGGCAACCTGGCCTGGCAGCTGATGGCGCTACAACCTGGCTGTACCAGGAAGGGCTGGCCCAGTGAGGAAGAAGGAACAGCATAACTCATCTCATTCACCAAAAGCTGCACTGGCTCCTGTGGGTGCTGCTGACAGGGGAGTAGGACGAGCCAGGGACCCAATTTCTAGTTCTGTCATGGATCAGTTATGCAGCTGAGGAAAGGTGCGTCTTCCTCAGGACGGGGAAACAAAATGGCTGCTGGGCCCCACCTTCTCTGAGCCTCTTGATTCCGTAAGAAACTCACGGTTAAAAATGTCATCTAGGAACATTAAAAATAAATTCCCACTTTCTGTGGAATAAGGACTGAGTTCTACCTTGGCCCTTCCCTGGGCCCTTTATAAACTCTGGTATTTTTATTTTCCTCAAAATAACCTTTTCAAAAGGTACCTGCAAACTGCAGCATTGGCCTCTCGCGGAGAGGATGCTTTCATGCCCAGCAGGGCACCACCGTTAGCCTTTGGGCAGAGACATGCTATATGGGCTGCAGCGGATTTAAGGCAGGCCCCCCAGGCAGACTGAATGCCAGGGAAGGCCACGGAACAACTGTCGGATCAAGAACACTGACACCCCGAGTCTCCACACCACCAAAAGACCCTGGCTGGGGCAGTGTCTGGACCACCAGGCAGCTCTCTCTGACTGTGATTATCAGTGACACGGATTCCTTAGAGACCTATGTGGGTTCACTTGGATACTCTGGCTAAGAACCAAGGAGAAGGAAGCTGACTTTTTAACAAAGTATGTTTAGTTTTAACTGACACGCAGTCATCGTACATATTTATGAGGTAGGGTGTGACATTTAGAGATATGCATACAATGTGTATTGATCAGATCAGAATAACTGGCATATCTATCACCTCAGACATGTGTCAACATTCTTCGTGCTGGAGACATTCAAGATCCTACGAGCTACTTTGAAATAATTAACTGTTTCAAACCACAGTGACCCCGACAGCAATTATTCGTGTTGAACACCACCACTGTACCTGTCGAACATCCTCTCTGTCACTGTCTCCCCGACACTCTTCTCACGGTCTGCTAATTACTATTCCTCTCTTCTCTGAGATCAATTATTTAGCTTCCACATTACAGAAGTGTGTGTGTGTGTGTGTGTGTGTGTGTGTGTGTGTGTGTGCGCGTGTACCTCTCCAAGGCGTGCTATTATCAGGCACATAAATATTAAAAAGCTGACTTTTAAAAATTCATGATTTGTGTAGAATTGGTCTGAATCTGGTTGAGCTCCCCTCCAGCCTGTTTCAGGCATGCTCTGTGGTCTCCTCCATAGAATGGGGGCAATGTATTCTTACGAGGTTCGGGAAACAGGAAAGGACTGAATCTCAGGCAGACAGATACACCTCTGGGAAAAATGCAAAAGGCCAGTCAGGAGCCTTGAAAGGACAGGAAGAGTACAGACCATCCAATCCAGGCACTGACAGATCCATTCTGGGTGTCAACTCCACATGACTGGTGGGTAAGTCCCCCTCACTGCCTGTGCTGAGGACTCTGGGGCTCTTTCTGGCCTAAATGTATGAGATTCCTAGGGTTACTGTGCCCAGCTACTGTAAACGTGGTGGCCCCAAATGATAGAAATTTATTTTCTCATAATTCTAGAGACTAGAAGCCTAAAATAAAGGTGCTGCGAAGCCACTTTCTCTGAAGGCCCCAAGGGAGAACCCTTCCTCACCTCTTCCAGCTTCCGGTGGTTCCTGGCACTCCTTGGCCTACGCCAGCACTATTCTAACTGCTGCCTGTGTCTTTAGGTAGCTGCTTCTTTTTGTCTGTCTCTGGGAATAAATCTGCCTCTCCTTTCTCTCATATACTCCAGTCACTGGATTTAGGGTGCACCCTAAACCTAGGGTGATTTCATCTTGAGATCCATAGCTAGCTACATCTACAGAGATTCTATTTCTAAATAAGGTCACATTTTGAGGTTCTGGGTATGTAAGCATGGGGAGGGCATTCATCAACCCTCTGTAAGGGCCGTGATAGCTGAGCAACCTCACTATGGGTCCAGGAGTGAGCAGGGGTGGCACTTCTGCCTCCTATCTGCCATCTCAATCTGGCCCAGGGGTGGCTTTATAGATGTCAGAATTGGGATTCAGGAAATGAAGGTCTTGATGAGGGAGATAACATAAAACCTATATAAACTAGACCGAGCCACAGGAAAGAATAATTGATGGAAGGTATGCAGGTGGAGTAGGAGGTGGGTTGGGGTGGAGAAGATGAGGATGAATTTACTGTTAGTTGTGGAATAACTAAGAAGGCTATCTTTGCTTTTGAAACTACTGTCCAAGGGTCTAAAAGGGGCAATAAAATGATCAGCAGCCAACTAGAGAAAAAACGTCAGTGCACGGGAAGAATCAGGAGCATCCTGGGGATCCTTTTGCTGAGGGTGGTTTGCGCTTTTTTGGCCAAAGGAATGAGAGTTCCTCTCCCTGGGTAAAAGCCTCTCCAGACTGATCCCTGAAAGCATCGTGCGTAGATGCCTGCTGGTTGCCATGGTGAATGATGCTGATGTGAAGAAATGAATAATGCGAGCACTGGGGGCGACAGTGGGATTACTCAGTGGTGAGAGAGGCATCAAGGAGAGCCCAGAGCAGAGGAAGCCACCATTCTTTCAGCTTTGGTCCACTCTGTCCCAGAAGGTAGAGCTCTAACCAGACAGACTGCGAGCATCAGGTAAGAGATGTAGCTGGTTCGTCTTGGAAATGGAAATGGCATTTCCTTCCACCCTCTGCTTGGAGAAAGGCCAGGTGATAGTAAATAGCTAGCTAAAAATAGGGAGAATTTAGAAAAAGAGATAATAAAAACTAAACGAGGGACATAGCTTTGCTTCTGAAAGCTGAGGACGATGAGACAAAGGTCTTAAAACTGTCTGCTGGGGGGAACCCGGGCTGCGAAAACAGCCGCTGCAGACATGAGGCAAACAGAAGAAAAGGTTTGTGCGTGACCAGAATAGGACTCCTGGTTACTCCCGATGCTAGGGTTTTATGGAGTCTTTCCCTACGTGTCACAGGAGGGAAGCGCACTTGATTCAGCGAGGTGGGAAGCGTGTGTAGGATGTGTGGGGAGAACAAGCGCGTAGGAGACGACCAGGGAGCCAGTGCGAAGGTCGTCTCCTTCCGGACAGCCTTCCCTGGGAAGATAAGATGCGAGCGCACCTGTCTTACCCCTTCCCACTTCCACCCGCTACCAAGAAATCTCCAGCCAGCTAAAACGAACTCTTTCCCTTCCTGGTCGTGTTAGTTCACTACCATCTTCAGAGAAGCAACATGGGGATCGAAAATTTACTCCATGCTGTGTATCTTTCTGCAGCTCCACTCTCCTAGGAATGCGAGCAGTAAACAGGAGGTTGTGGGAAGGTAGGGCAGAGAGAACGGTTGGAACAATCTGGCTTAAAATAATATCTCTTTTGGATTTTACAGTGACTGGCTCCTTCTTACTATGTCACTGCAACCTAAAACGAAACCTGCTTCATGGGGGGGCACTGCAGGGTGAAATGTTTACCAGAGCACACACGGGTTGACGACAGCTTTCTCTAGATTCTTGATCGGGGTGAACTGAGTGGAGGGGAACTATTATATTTCAGATAGAATTAAAGAGAAACCAAGAAACTTGGTTGTCTAGTACCAAAGCAGGGAGGCTGGCAATCTGAAGAGGCCTCACGGGAACTGTCTGGGAAAATGACAACTGGGACTTAGTCCTGGTGCCTCAGTTTGCAATAATGTTCTAGTAGTACATCAAGCCCAGTGGCCACACGTTTGGGAAATACAGTGGTTAAGCAGCTTTGAGTCCTCTTTCTGTGTATTAGCTGAATGGCCTTAGGTAGCCCATCTGTAAAATGGGAATCTAGCTGGGGGTGGGGGGTGACGAAGGAAGGGAATTTTTTATTGCATGCAAAGCATGTGCTGTGACCTGGACACAGCAACCTCACTGCTGGGGGTGGTTATGACATCACTGACAGTGCCGGCACCTGGTAGCACCAGGGATACTGGACGGCAGCAGCTACATTGCATTAGGAGCTGGTTACCTTGACCGGGAAACTACTGTCCTGGTACCTCTGCCTTTGAAAAAAATTAACAAATAGAATACAGGTAGAAACGAAAAATCAGTTGGCAACAAGGGATGGGGTGCACCTCGATTCTTCACAGGCATGGGCGTGGACAACATAACTGGGAGTCTAAAGAAATGCACTGGGCAGAACACTGCAGATCCCTGGGCTCACAGCACTTAGAAGAGAGGCAGGAGGTCAGGAAGGAAAACCAGAAAGAATCACCTGAGAGGCAAGAGGACACAGATCTAGGATGATTAAGGTGGTTTCCCGAGGGTCTCCTTCCTTTCCCTCCCTTCCATCGTTCCCTCCCTCCTCCGTTCCTCCCTTCCTCAAAGGGGACTGGTGTCGTCTGTAAAGGATTTCAGACAGGGTGGGATGTGGCTGAGTTACAGGAGCTGAAGGCTCCCCCTGGCACGAAGCAGCACTGATGTGTGATTCTGTTCTGCCTCTTCTTTTCTAGCCTAAGTCACGTATCTCTGTGCTTCCGTTTCTTTGTCTGCAAAGTGGGTGTTCACTAATGGTGCCTAATTCCTACGCTCAGTACACGGTGATGATGACTGTGATAATAAATATGTAGGTAGGGGGATGTCACTCTCACTTTGATTCTGGTTTCAGAATCGGGATGAACATCGAGGTTGGGAACATTTCTTACACGGGAGCCATCATCTCCTGGTCGTCCTCAGAGCCCTGCCTGGAGGACTATTACCATATTATGTACAGGCCCAACTGGAACAGCATCTTCTCTGGCTATCTTCGCTACAGCTTCCACCACGAGGAGAAGGTGCCTCGAACCATCAGCTCCGTGGTGCTGGAACACCTCGCCCCTTCCACTCTCTACTTCCTCTGCATCAGCTGTAAGAAGGGTGCCTTCCCCTATAGGCACTACTGCACCATGTTCCACACGCTGGATAAGAGCCCACTGGCGGCCGGAAGCTCCCTGGTAGACCCCCAAATCTCTCTTTGGGTGCTGATGGCCATTCTGCTGGCCTGCTTCACTGCTGTCCTGGCCTTTATCTGCCTGCAGTTCTGGTGCATCCGTTGTCATGAGCCTCGATGGTCATACAGAGCTGGCCACATGGAGGAAGCTAATGGGCTGGTAAGATGGCCGGAGGAGGCCCTTGCTCTTGGTCAGAGAGAGGAAGACCTGCAAGGGCTCCCCCTGGTGGAGCTGCGACGCAAGGACTCTGGGGCCGCAGCTGAATCCGAAGCTGAAGCCCAGCAGAATGCAGCCGATGTGGGAGCCTTACCCACGGAGGGTAGCGGGCAACCTGCCATCCCGGCTCATTGCAAGGAGTGAGAAGAGGAGACAGCCCCCATCATGTGCCCAAAGCCCCCCAAGGAGATCTGTAAAAATGTACAGACTGCCCATTTCTCTTCCTTTAAATGTGAGTGCTATTGTGATCCCTGGTGTTGGATAAAAGTCTCATCATGAAGCTTCTCAAACTAGAAAGCAAACCCCCCAGGGCTGCCGCAGGTCAAGCATGGCTTCGCTTCACCCGTGTCCATCTCGGGGTTAAGAATTGCAGGCCCTACTTTAACATTCAACCAAGCGCGGACACATCATAGAGTAGAAAGCAAACATTTGCATGACTTAAATAAAGCACAGTATTTGAAGGAAATGTGTGGGCTGTAGATTTAAGGTTAGGGATCAGACAGTCTCTGAGATTTGCCTTCTGTCATTCTTTGGAGAGCATGAGGAGCCTTACACCAGAGTGTTTTCCAACTTTCAGACAATCACATTTTACATTACATCCTATTTTTTTTTTAAACCATGGGCTTTTATTAACAATACTACTACTAATAATAATACTTTCTCTTTAAATTTGTTCATTATTAACTTTAAATATATTTTAAAATATAGCCATATATTACTCCCGTGAGGCCCAAGGGATAAGGATTCATCTGGGTTCATTGCACTTTTAGGTTTGGAGCGGAGAAAATTTTCTGTCACATTGTTGTATTCACCTCGTCAGTTCCTCTCCTAAGTCCAACTCCGCTCACTTGTTGAAAACAGGGTCAAATGTGGCTATTTTTATTCCAGCAGAAAGAAAAATGCTGCCCTCTTTTTTGCTGGGTGACATATTTTACTCTCTGAGTGGCATCCTTTAGTCCTCTCACACAACCCTGCGGTCAGAAACGAATCTCTTGCACGTGGTGTGGCTCTGGTGGAACTCTGTGCTCACCGCTGCCCCGGCCCTGACAGTGGTGCAGGACAAAATCCAGCAGGGGAGAGACTGTCTGAGCCCTGTGTGCCTCCAGCACTTTCAATCTAGCCTGGGCCTGGCCTACAGCAGGTGCATATTCAACATCCAAGGGGTGGAAAGAAGGCCTAGGACAGGCGCCTCTGGAGAGGGCCAGCGTCAGGCTGCACCATGTGTCAACAAAAGCAGCACCGAGATGGGACCGGAAGTGGCCCTTGGCTCTAGCACCAACCATCTGCAATCTCCGTCAAGTTCCACCTGTCCAACTTCTTCCTCTGCAAGTCCTTCGTATTCACTCGCACAAAATCCCGGAGTCACTGACCGACATGCCGTGAATCAATTGAGAAACAAGAGGAGCCGGGGAGCCAAGACGAGAAGCCGCACGACGTGGTTCCCCACACACCCCGGGGCAGTGCTCACCTCAGTGTCCACCCAGCGTCCAGCCCCCAGGCCCATGTCCGCCCCACCCCTGCTAGCTGTGAACAAATAAAGATGCACAGAGTTCACTCGCAGTTGGTGACGCCTGAATCTCACGGCCGCCTCTCCATCGCGACACCGTCCACCTTTCCCGATTCCGGGACTGCTCTTCCGTGTGCTTTTTCTCACTGGCCCTCTCACAGGCAGGACGAGGCAGGGCTACTTACCTTGGAGCCATACAGATAATAAGGCTGGACGTTGGCAGGCTTATCTCGTTGTGGCTCTTGGGTGAAAGGAATGGCAGTTCGGACAAAGCTAGTGAAAGACGAGAGATGGGAAGGAGTTAACCGGGCCATAGCGTTATCCTGCTCGGTCCCATGCAGGACACAGCAGGAGCCCCCTCAACCGAGGAAGGCTCCTGCCGCCATGCACCTGCACTGTCCTAGGTGGCTGCCTACAAAGCTCTCAACTCTTCTGACGGCCTCCCTTTCAGCTACTGTCCCCTTCCCCAACCCTCCCACCAAGGGGCGAGGCTGCAGCTCAGATTTCCAGGCTCAGCTCAGGGCTGTGACTCCTCAGAAGAAAAGGAAAGTGGTCTGCACTGGGACCGCAAAGGGCTCTCTGTAGGGTCCTGTCCCCCCACCGCCAGCTACATTTCACGAGCTGGGTTCACTAAATTCTTTCTGTAAATGGGCAACAAGCAAGTATTTTCAGCTTTGCAAACCAGATAGGCTCTCCTACAAGAACTCCACCCTGTGGTCAAGCAGGAGCAGCGGCAGGCAGCAGTAAATGAATGAGCAATGGCTGAGTTCCAAAAAAAGCATCATGCATTTCAAATAATTTTCACGTGTCATCCATTATTACTCTAAATATTCTTCCCCCAATCACTCAAAACTCCATTTCCCATTCACAGGCTGTACCCAGAGACCTGGCAACTTGACGTGTCTGTAGTTAGTGGCTGGGGCCGTAGGCAACTGCTCCCTGCTGAAAGCCTTAAATCTTTAGACAGCTGAAGTCTGTCGCTCAGGGTGTGGGATGGGGGGGTGTCTGTAGATTCTCCCCATCCCCCTCCACTTATTCTTCCTAATACCACCCTGAGCCAGGCCCGGAGGTACTGAGAGGATCTGCAGACACAGGTGTCTTGGCACAACCTGCGAATACAGCCCTTATCCCTTCCACCCAGCTGTGAAGTTCCACGGACTAACAGAGTAGGACCTTTCACTGCCTCGGTGCCTGAGCCCAGGCCGTGCGCCCTTGTGGAAGGAAGGCTTCACTCTGTCCTGTATGAGCATTATGTATGCTCTGCAAGTACAGGCCTATTTTGTACATACATGTTCAGATATGTGGGCATCCTGACAGATGTTCAATGTGATCATGTCCCCCCAACTTTTCCAGGATACAAAAGTGCATAATTCTGATGTGGCCTCGGGTGGTGTTAGGTTTCGCCCTGAAACCTTGAGCTTTCATGGCACCACTGCCCACAGCACTGGTATGACCCTCACCCACCTCCCAGTTCTTTGGAAATGCTGCCTGGGATTCTGTTCTCCGGCCACTTTACCTTTTCTTTCCATTTCTCTTACATCTCCACTCCAGCACTTCCTGGCCTGGATCAGGCAGTGGCTTTTCTTTATCTCCTTACTTACTGCTGCACTGCTTTCTGTCCTGTGATTGCTTGATCACCTAAGCCTCCTCTAGCCTCCAGATTCTAAGAGGCAGGACAGTGTTTCCCTGCTCACCATGACATCCTCGCCTCCAGCACAGAGCCGGATCCCAAGAAGGCCTCTGAGAGATGCCTGCCAGATTGCTGGGTCCAGTTTGGAGGAGGCAGCTTGGCAAAACTCTGACCCCCACCCAGCCCTGGTCCTCTCTGCACATGGTCTCCCTCACCGGTTTGTGGAACCATTGTAGCAATAGTTGGGGAGGAAGTCAAAGTTCAGCTCCCAGAAGACATGCAGGGTGATGCGGCCATAGGGGGCTGACACGTTGTGATTGGCTTCCCGGAACATGGCGTCGAAGCTGTCCAGTGTCATGTGCTTGCAGAGCAGCCGGTGTGTGAGCCGGTTGATCTCCAGCAGCCACTCAAGCTCCTACAGACAGAGAATGGAGACTGCTGAGGACTTGCACGTAAAGCACACACAGGTGCTCTTCATCTCTGGACTCCTTTCAGGCAGGTGAGAGCCCCTCAATGTCTTCACCTTGCACATGAGGACTAGGATCCTCTTGCAGCAGCACCAGACAATGTTCTCTTGTTCTGAGAAGCACAAGGAACTATGTTGGAGTTACGCTGGGCCATTCTGGGGACAACAGTGGGAGAGAGGGGCTGCATGCCTGACACCTGGAAGGAGACCACCAACCAGGTAGAAATCCTGTTTGTAATCTTTACGGCAGAAAGCACATTCACTTGCTTTCCAGTTCCTATCCTGGTGAGGGGAAAGTTTGTCCCTCAGTGTCACAAGTAATATAAAAGAAAGCTGTGACTCTATCACCAGAGGTAACGTCTGTGCCTGAGGAAAACAATAAGAGCTACCACCTTTCTTGCGCTTATTATTAGGTTGAAGCATATGAAGGTTATTGTTTTAAGTCAAATGCTGTCAAATATCGGTAACTTCAACTGGTTCAAATTAAATAACATGTCCAATTTCATACGTGTTAATACACAGAATTTTCAACAAACCTCTGTGAGGTCAGTACTGCTACTGTCTTTATGCATGCAGAAATTTAGGCATCGAGAAATTAAGTAATTTGGCTGCAATCTAGGAAACTGGGTCCCAAGGTCTACATTTGCAACCTCTACACAATTTCCAGGAGAATTTTTAAAGGAAATGGAAGAGAACGGCTCCTCCTTTGGACTGCAGGCCCCTCAGGCAAATAGGACAGCAAAGTCTGGCAATAAGGCACAGACAAGCAGTCTGTACTTGGCCTGCGATGACCAGGGACCTAAGGGTGCTGCAGGCCTGGGCCATTCAGAGTCTACCTTCAAGAAGACTGTGGGGTCAGAGAGGGTGTCCACACACAGGAGGACCCTGCATTTGCGGAAACAGGTAGAGTGAATCCTTCTAGCTTGCTCTGGTTTCTTGTTCTCTATAACTTCTCAGTCATTGCTATGGTTTGGTTTGGTTTTTTGGTACCAGGGATCGAACTCGGGTCCTTGCGCTTGCAAGGCAGGCCCCGGAACCACTGAGCTAAACTCCTGGCAGTCACTGCTATTGAAAAGCACGACAGCCCGTGACAGAATGAGGGAAAGAGAACGCAGACCTAATGCTGAGGCACCTGAGGCATTGTTTTGCTGAAGACATCGCCTGAGATATGTGTGACTGTCCCTGTTTCATGGTAGGGTGAGGTTTGTAAGGTCAAGGAACTTGCCCGAGGTTACACAGGGAATACATAGCAAGGCCTGGAATGTGAACCTGGCTCTTTTGCTGCGGGTGGGCTGTCCATGGCTGACTGAGGAGCCCCCACCAGATGGAGTGAACCTGCCCCTTCTGATACTCATCTGACAGCTGCCAAGTCAGGACAGGCTAGGGACAACAAATCCTGTGCTTTCCAAAGAAAGTGAACGCCTAGCCAGAAGAGTAAGTCTCCAGTCCCCGTGTACCATGAAGTAAGAGGAGGACAGAAATACAGAGCCATCTGTCTGCCTCGGTCTCTTGGGGCCTGGCTAGCTGCACGGTGCCTATGTTCCCATTTGCTCAAATGGGCACTGATCAGATAAATCATAAATGGGCCACTGTAAATGGCTTTATTCCCAAGATCACTGATCACCTGGCAAGGGGTGGTGCCTTGTTTGCGGGGAGACACTCACCGATGAGAAACTGGGGAACAACTTCTGGCCTATCATTCTGTGGTTCTAAGTTTCACGAGTGCCTATCAGCATTTAGGAGGGAGATGAGCAGTTGAGGAGTCGTCTCAACTCTGCTGATATGGCGACAGCTGACCCAGTAGGTGATTCATACTGCATTTTTGAGGCCCGCTGTGGCCTTTAAGTCAAAAAGGACATGTGCTTGATGGACACAAGGTGTGGAGAACAGAAGAAAAGGCCACGGAAGCAGTTCAGGTGCCTCCTAGAGCATGTGAACTTCTGTCAGTCAAACCAGTTTACCCAAGGGCAACACAGAACAGGCGAACATGTCAGAGATGGGGTGGGAGGAACCAGAAGACCCAAGGGGCAGCCACGGCCACATGCTGGCCAGCTCTGTCACCTCGGGCAGATGAGCAGAAAGGCACAGTGAGGCCTGGGAGGCCACACACGCTTTTGGCGCTTGCAGCAGGCTGAAGGGAGCTCGGCCTCTAAGGGACAGGTAGCCACTTCCAGGCAAGTGTTGCCATCCGGGAATGCCAGGAAGGCACTGTCAGAGCTTCTGAAAGTTTATCAGAATTCTTCCAAATGTTGTACGTTGGCTCCAGTTTCAAATAAGCCATGCAGCCTGCACAAAATACAGGCTGCTGGCTGCTGGTTTTCAACTACAGCCGTCAGAGCTCACCTGACTCCATTCGCTCACTGTGCAAAACAAGGCAACCAACTCTCCGCCAAGTGCGCAACCTCTCCCGGCCGGAAAGCAGCAGTTTCCCCGCCTCAGAATGGCATTTTTAAGAGCAGGAGCTCAAGGCAGGAGGGGGTCACCCTGACCTGCACTGAGAGAGCTTCTGGGGCCTCACAGGAAGGGGTGCTGTGGAAGGGGCTGCTGCTTCTCTCGATACACAAAGGTTTTCACGGCTTGTTTTGATTTTGTTCCCAGCTAAGAGAACATTCAGTGCCTTTCAAGGGGTAGGAAGGAGCACATGAGGGCAGACGTACACACGTACACACATTAATCCCTTTTTCCCATAAGACAAGCTCACTGTTGGAGAACCACAAGTTACAGGTAAACAAAAAGAAGAAGAAGAAAAAAATCCAAATTCCCTCTACTTGGAGATGATCACTGCCAACATTCTGGCATAAACAAAGAGGTGGATGAATTATCTCCCTGAAGGGTGCATGCAATTCTTGACCCAACCAACCCACGACTCAGGAGTGTGCTGCAAGTCTTCCTAAGAAACATGGCTGAAAATTCTCCAGGACAGTGCCAAATTACAATCCCAAAATAATTTTTTATAAGCTCATATTAAACACAAAAACTATGCTAAATTCTTTCCAGGTATTATCTTATTGTATCTTTGTAACAATACTATGAGATGGATTCTAAAACTTCCTCCATTTTATAGT